GACTCAGGCCGGTGAGGCACACAGGGCGGGGCTATATCTACCCAACTGAGCCTTATCAGATCCGAGCCGGCCACCACTTGGCCCCGTGAAACAAAGAGGCTTTGAGAACCAGGCTGAGGTGTGGGAGGTGGGGCCGAGCCCCAGAAGGCACAACTACCCAGGGACCAGAGGGCACAGGCTGGGAAGCTGCCACCACCTACCCTGCCAAGGAGGTTTGCCCTGAAGGGGCGCCCCCAAGGTGGGACGCTGGGTCTGTGTTCTCCAGAGAAGTCCTCCATTGTGGGAGCCCAGGCCTCTTTAGGACACAACCTGCTGGGGCATTTCCCTCCAGGCCCTCAACTCCATTCCTGCCATGGGATACAGCATTTCCCTTCCCCACCTCCCATTTTGAAGTCTCCCCTCCTCAAATAGCCCCAACTACACTGGCTCCCAATCCCTGGGCATGCCCTGAACTTCCCCTCTGTACATCTGCTCCTGATGATCCACCCACCTGCCCTTGCCCAAGTCACTCATACCCCTGAAGACCCAGACCAACACCGGCCCCAGGAAGTCTCTGAGCATTGCGCATCCTGCCCCTAGTCCTGTCTAATCGCTCTGCACTTCCTCTGGCGTCACACTGTGTGGAGCTTCTGTCTGAATCTTCATCCCTGGCAGAATCTGCTGAGCCTGGCAGAAGCCTAAGCCCACCAGGACCAGAATTGATGGTTGTAAAAGTTGTACACTGCACAGGGCTCTAGGTTGAGTGAGCAGGGGGACTGCAATCCAGACATGCTCTGAAAGTCCCAGCATATACCCTGCACTAGTCTCTTCTAAATGGACTTCCTGCTCCGGGCACCAGACCAGGAGAGCTGCCTTTTCTAGTTGAGTGTCCCTGAGGGAGCACTTCTTACTAAATATTTCAATGGAGGGCTCCTATTTCCAGTTCCCACACAGGTGGCATAGGTGCTAGCAGTAGGCTCTGCTGTCTAAAGGCCATGTGCATTGGGTTCAGCCCTTTCCAACACAAGACCACTCACTGTCAGAAGCCATTCTATCCTCAGCCCTGTGTGTCTTAGGGAAGATGGCTGAGTGCAGGCCTGCAGGGCTTCCAAAGAGCCATGCAAGCGGTGACTGGGGCTTTCCAAACAAAAGAGAGGAGGCTGCAAGGCCCGCCTGAGGAAGAGTACTTACGGAGAGGCCCCAGCACAGCCAGATAGGGGAACCAGGGTGCAGTGAGCTTCTATAGAAGGTAACTGGCCCAGGCAGCTCCAGAGGCCTCGCAGCCAGGAAGTTCCCCCATTGTGACTCCTAGACCCTGACACTCCAGGTCCTCCCAGGGACCTGTGGACTTAGGCACAGGTCTTGCATTTTGCCTGGATTGGGATATCAGAGGCTACTCTGAATTTATTTCCCATACATTTCCAAGACAGAGCAGAGAGGCAGGCAGACGGAACAGGTGCTTGGAGGGTCCCTTGAACACAAGTAGACCCTTGGATGACAGGGAGAGAGGATATCTCTACAGGAAAGCCCTGGACATCACCCTTACAGGTGCAGCCACTAAGGCCAAAGAAGACCAAGGTCCAAGGTCAAGGATGCTGTGGGTGGGGGAGCTGGATTTCCTATTTAAAACCCCCAAAGTTGACCTGGGCCCTTTTCTCATCCCCCTGGCTCATCCAACCCTGGCTTCCATCCTGGCCACTCTATTGCCTAAGTGTCTACAATCCGTCACCTTCTTTATGACCCTAGAGCCACTTCCCTAGTCTAGGACACCAACTTCCCAGTAGTGCTTCCACGATTGTTCCCTCTGATCTGCCTTCCATACTGTAGCCAGATGAGCTTTTGGAAGCAACCTAGTCATGAGCTTCCCCTGTTTGAGGGCCCCCAGGATTGAGTCCTATTGCATGCAACACAGGCTCTGTGTCATCTGCCTCCTGCCTCTCTCTCCACTTTGGTTTTTGCCAAGCCCACGTGACCCACATAACTTTACCATGCTGGCCTAATGGTGGTTCCTCTAAGCCTGCAAGCCCCCAAACCTTTGATTTAACTATGTCCTTAGCCTGGATCTCTTCCACATGCCTGCCAGGCAAACTCCTTCTTGCCCCATGTTGTAGCGTCATCGCCTTCAGGAAGTCTTCCTAGTCACCAGCCACTCCATGGTGCTTCAGTAGCCACTGTAAGGATGTCAGCCACAGCAGTTGGTGCACCATGTGGATATCCCTGTCTCCCACACTTCTCCCTCCCAACTTAGGAGTTCACTGAAGACAGGCACTGCCTCTTTCCCCCAACTTGGGCACAGTGCCTGACATGGAGTGGCATCCATTAACACTATGAGATTGGCCAACCGCGGCGACTCATATCTGTAATCTCAGCACTTTGGGAGGCTGAGGTGGGCAGATCACTTGAGGCCAGGAATTTGAGACCAGCCTGGCCAACATGGCAAAACCCCATCTCTACTAAAAATACAAAAAATTAACTGGGTTTGGTGGCATGCATCTGTAATCCCAGCTACTTGCGAGGCTGAGGCAGGAGAATTGCTGGAACCTAAGGCAGAGGCTGCAGTGAACTGAGATCATGCCACTGCTCTCCAGCCTGGGTGACAGAATGAGACCCTGTCTCAAAAAATAAAAAAAATAAAATAAGCATTGACTATGAGCGAACGTCACAGTTGTGGATGCAGCAGCCTTTGGGGCTAGGCTTGGGCCCAAGTGGAGAAGGAGGCGTTGGATCTGCACTGCCTGGGTCTGGGCAGTGCAAATGACCCTCCTCTGGGTCTCGGCACTGTACGGAGGATGGGAGAGATTTGGGCCACCACACTGCAGACACGAAAGATGATCTCCAGGCTGTCTCCTTGTTTCTTCATATCTGGGCCCAGGATTCCAGGAAAAGCTGTAGGGTCCCATTCCCACCCCAAATTTGTTCTTTTGAGGGACTGAATTCATACAAAGTTCTTTGTCTTTGAAGTCTTTGAAATCTTTGTCTGAAAAATGAATTTGTTCCCTGAGGAGGCCTATCTAGAACAGAAAGGTCTAGGGACACCAAATGACTGTCTGCTGGACCACGTGTGCCCAACCCCAGTAGGAGAGGCGCCCCCTGACCCCACTCCTTCCCCCATGACCTGGGGAGTCATCCACTGCATGCATCCACACTCACCAACAACTTATCACTGCAATCTGATCTCCCAGGTAGAATGTCTACAGGGAGATAATGTGTGAATGAATGGACAAGAGCATCTTGACCTAGGCCTGATATTTCTCACTGTGAATGAGTTCATGAACATTTTGGTCCTTGTGAGCCTGGTCAGTAAGAGTCTGCCACAGAGAGATGGGTCCACTCTAGATGTGTTGACAAAGCAGATTTCCAGACCTCAGATGCTGAGTGTGACCTTCCAGAGAGAACCTGAGTTCCCCAGAGGAAAAGCTTGGGGGTAAAAACAATGTGCACAACAGCCAGTCTGGAAGGATTCAAATTCTGCTTCTGTTGTTTGCTGTGTAATCTTGGGCAAGTTTCTTAACCTCCCTGGGCTTCTGTGTTCTCTTCTGGAAAGTAGTAATATTAAATGAAGTACACACCACGTATGGTCATTATGAGTATTAAATGAGCTACTGAATGTAAAGATCTAGAATGATGCCTAGCAAGGGTTAGTCATCATTAAATGATAGAAATTATCAATACAGCCAGTGGAGCCCGATTTCTCCAGATGACACGGACCACAGAATAATGGTTTTCTCTGGCATTTTCTTCAATGGATGTGAGGAGAGGATAAGCTAAGAGTCTGAACAGTCATCCCCACCACTTTCAACACAGTCATCTGTGTAAGAGGACAGAGCCTGGGCAGTGGCACACTTCAACAACTAGCTCCCCAAGGTGGGGGGAAACCCTAATTTGTAGTCTCTGCCAATTTCCAGTGTTCTATGGCCACTGTGCCTATTTCAACTGACTCACAAAACTCCTGAAAATTTTGTATCACTGGACCTAGAACCTCAGTTTATCTGTAGTGAGTATAGAAAAATTTGCCTTGGGATGGAGGGATGGAGGGAAAGTAAAGAAGGGGGTCATGCTGTCTTGGCAGTAAACCGGGCCTCCTCTGGACTAAGCAGTAGTTCTTGAGTGTGGCCCATGGACCATCTGCCATGTTTGGGGTGTTTACAAAACTAAGCTCCTGGGCCTTGCACTGGATCGATTAAAGTGGAATCCTGGGCTGGGCACAGTGGCTCACGCCTGTAATCCCAGCACTTTGGGAGGCCAAGGTGGGTGGATCACGAGGACAGGAGATCAATATCATCCTGGCTCACATGGTGAAACCCCGTCTTTAGTAAAAATACAAAAAAGAATTAGCCAGGCATGGTGGCAGGCACCTGTAGTCCCAGCTACTTGGGAGGCTGAGGCAGGAGAATGGCGTGAACCCAGGAGGCGGAACTTGCAGTGAGCCGAGATTGTGCCACTGCACTCCATCCTGACCAACAGAGTGAGACTCCATCTCCAAAAAAAAAAAAAAAAAAGTGGAATCCTGGAAGTGGGGCCAGGAATCATCTTTAAACAAGCTTCCTAGGTGATCCTGACGTTTCAGAACTGCTGGATTAGAGATCTCTGACCTGTCCAAGAAGTCAGAATAGTCCACAAGATAGATGTGAATTTTACAGAATCTTTTCACACTGTGGTCCATTACCAACAGGGAAGAGTCAGAAGCCCAGGCCCCAACAGCACAAGGGCATGATTATAGATGAGTGAGGTGACCATGGACTAGTCATCTCTGTTCTCTCTCGGATCCATCCTTGTTTGGGGTAAACGGTGAGGTCAGTGTGTAAAGGCCCTGCCCTGCGCAGAGCACAGCTCTCTGTAGGGGCTTTGCAGAGCTACTGGGTGGGAATAGACCTGCAGGGAGGGTGGGAGGCCTGGAGTTTCTGTCCTTGGAGGAAGGTGAGCCAGGCCTCTCTGAGGAGGGAAGAAAACCCTGGACATACCCTTCCAGGGCTCCAAACTATCCGTGAATTGTCCCCTCTCAGCATCTTGGACTCTGTGGCTCTAACAACTTAAATAATTTTTATTACAAAAGGAAGAAAAGACCAAAACATCCCCAGAATTCTCCCATGGGCTTCCCCCTCCGCGCCAATAAATAAGGTATGGGAGACTGACCAGCGGAAGGGGTGGGGATCATGGTTCAGCAGAAGAGGGAGCTTAGGCCGGGGGGTGGCAAGCACATCCAGCCCACTTCCCCCAGTCCCCAGCACTATGGTCACATTGGCCAGAACACAGAACTCTGCCCACTGACAGCAACAGTCTCTGGATGTGTCTTGAGGAGTGTGGCCGGGGAGGAATGTCATACCTCAGAATGGCCGGGATGGCTGCCCCACCCCTGTGGCCTTCCCAGTTCTGGACAGCATCGGGTCCAGCCAGCTCCATGCTGGCTCCCAGGGAATTTAGCAGCATCAACTGAGGTGCAAGCCCACCCAAAGGGGCCTAAGACAGATGGAATGGGCCCTCCCCAATGGGGGAGGCAGAGTATGAAAACTCATAGTGAGAGCAGGCTGAGTTGGGAGTCGCCGTGCCAGCCGCAAGGTCTCTAGGATAGAGGGGTCAACAACCACCCCCTCGCCAGCTCAGCTTGCAGCTCTATGACTACACCACGGCGGGGGTGGGGAACCCTGGTGTTGCCCAGTCAAGTCTCAATGATGTATCTCCATGGCAGAGGAGATGGCAGGAGCCAGTGCACCCCAGCACAGGTCCCTTCCAGGGCCAGCTCCCTCCTGGCCGAGAGGCTTCTGGACCCAGTACAGCAGTTCCAGGAGGGCAGCGGTGGAGTCCTTTCAGCTCCCTGCCCCGGACATGCCCAGTGGGTGGAAGCTGCCCTCTTCTAGCAGGAGACGCCCCAGGCGGTAGAGCAGCTGGGGGTACCAATGCACACCCTCCCCAGGGGTCCAGCTGCCCCACGCCAAGCTGTGAAAGAGTCTCAGGGGCCAGAAGGCCAACTGAGCCAGGTGGTGGTCAGCCACGGCCGCGAAGCAGGATGCCACCACATCTTCCACCACCAGTGTCCCGTGCCTTGTGAGTGGGGCATAGGCCCCAAGGGCCACGTGTGTAGAGACAGCTGCCACGCGGGCAGGCTGCAGGCCTGGCACCCCAGCCACCAGCACATACTGGCCAGGCTGCACGTGGCTGGCAAATGTGGCCCGGAAGCGGGCCGCCGGCTCCGTGTGATTGTCAGCTGTAAAGAGCAGGTGAGCGGGTGTGAGTGCCAGGCGGCGTGGGGGGTCCTGAGTCTCGATGACCTGGAAGGCTCTTAGCCTGTGGGGCTCGCGGTCCAGGAAAATGAGCACATCACTGAAGGTGGGGCTCCCGTCCTCCCCCATGGCCAGCACGCGGTCTCCCGGCCTCACAGCTGACAAGGCCACACGCGCCCCACTCTCCAGGCGTACCTGGGCTCCGGCAGGGAAGCAGCCGCCCGTCTTGGCTGCGGCCGAGTGCTCTGTGGGAGAAAGGGACATGAAGGTGTTACTGCTGTGTAGCTCGGCCTCCCGGTCACAACGATCCTCCCTTGGCCACCCCAGCCAGCCAGAGCTCCTCTTGCTCCCAGAGAGCCCCTGTCACCATATCCTGGCTCCTGCCCCCCACTTCCTATGCAGGCTTGAACCCACACTTCACTGCCCCCCATCCCCTCACTCCAATGTGATCTTCTGCCCCCTCCTCCCCAGCCTAATACTTTGCCAACAAGGGGAGCACAGTAGTGCTCCAAGACCCAGTGGATGAGAAGGAAAGGGCTGCCTCATGGAGCGGGAGGTTGCTTAGCTCCTCCGAGGCCTAGATGTTTTATTTCTCACCCCTTGCTCAGACACTCCCCAAAAATTGCCCTCTCAGGCTGATTCCCCAGGTTCTGTAACAGAGCTGGCCCTTTGAACGTAGGGATGTGGGAGAAGCCCACCCAGTGGGGCGAAGGCAGACTCCTGGGCAGCCTCGGAGTGAATGGTTGGGTCAGGAGCAAGCCAGGGGCGAGGACACAGTCACCATCTTCAGTTCATGTGCTGAGTCCCTGTGCAGGGACAGGACACTGCGGCATCAGCAAGTGAGCTGGAGAACAGTGTTTGGGGGTCAGGAGTAATGAACAGAAGTGGCCGTCATGGGCTGGTGTTTGCAGTGAAGGGTGGATGGGGCTTGCAGTAGACACAGTTGGCAGGGAAGTACTGAGTGGAAGGTTCAGGGTGTGGTTGTGGGTCAGGGTAGGGTCAGGAATATCAACATGTGGGCCTGGGCTCAGTGTGCAGGTCTATGAGAGTGCGACTACTACATGCTGCCAGTGTGAAGGGCTGAGCCGGCAGCCAGATGGGGCTAGGCTGGAAGCCACACAGGAACCATTTGGAGCCTCCATGGCTGGGTTTGGTGTAGTTGACAGGGTGCTGACAAGACTTGAGGGAGGGGTGAGGCCCCAGTGCCTGCCGATTCTGATCAACAATGCGGCCAATCTGGGAAAATCCACTTTATTGAGTCCACTTTGTTTAGTCTGGCTCTCCTGGCTGGCTTTGCCCTGAAATGTCCAGCTTCAGGGCATGGGGGGTAGAGTTTGAGTTTGGGGACGCCTGCGCCCCAGGGAGGGCTGACCTGCAGCTGGGTGATGGGTTCGGAGCCTCTGGGCTCCTGGTCAGGCATGCAGGTGTCTGGGCATATCCCGGCCCCTGGCCCCACCACCCGCCTTACTCTGCACCAGGTGGGGTGGGGAGGCCTTTTCTGGCAGCCTGGCTTCCTCCATCTGTCCAGCTTGCTCTGTCTTGCACCTCCTGTGGCAGGCTCTGGACTGTGGGCCACCAGGTCAGCACCCAGCAGCCCTGGGACAGGGCCCTATCTCCCTAGGCTCCTACCATGACACTACCAGGCATGGGATGAGCAGGCAGTCAAGGTCAGGAGTAGCGTTGGAGAGCGCCGCCGATGTCCTCTTCCCCCGGATCCCTGCCTCCATCCCTGGGCGGGCCTCTTCACCTTCTTGGCACTAGGCCTCCTGCCCACGCCCTGCGGCCCCGGCCCCGGCCCCGGGCCCAGCCCCCCGGCGGCGGCTCACCGGACTTGACGGAGCAATGCACGTGGGCCTTTGACTCGTAATACACCCAGTCAAAGCCGGCCTCCACTGCCAAGCGCGCCAGCAGTCCATACTTATTGCGGTCGCGGTCTGATGTGGTGATGTCCACCGCGCGGCCCTCATAATGCAGGGACTCCTCTGAGTGGTGGCCGTCCTCGTCCCAGCCCTCAGTCACCCGCAGCTTCACACCGGGCCACTGGTTCATCACGGAGATAGCCAGCGAGTTCAGGCGGTCCTTACAGCGCTGGGAGAGGAATGTGCGCGAAATCAGCTGGAGCGAAATCGGCGGGAGGAGACTGCCGAGGTGCAGGTGTAGGCGCAGCCTCGCCCAGAACTCTCCCGCCACACCCACGGGAGCTGGAAGCCCAGGAGGGTGCTGTCCCTCTCCCTTAGGAACAGAGGGCCCTGAAGTGCTCCCTCCCTAGCATACAGCCTCCCCCGGGGATCTAGACCGCACGACGGTATCACAAATCTGGAGGAGGCATGGAGGCAAGCGCCCTGGCGGCGCCTTTTCTGGTAGGTAGAGGTCTCCTGCCTCCCTGTGCTGTCTTCAGCTCCGGGTATCCATCCCTCCACAGACAGGACTACATCTTTCAGCGCCCGGTCCCTCTGTGCCTCCAGCAGGAGGGCCAGCCAGCTGCCGGGAGGGATGAGTGGCAGCAGAGTCGACTGCCTGCGGCGGGCCTGCGAGGCGTGCAAGGCCCGAGGTGCCCAGTAGGTGTCACCGCAGCCTCAGGGCTGAGGCCTGGGGACGACGGGCTCTGGAGGCGCGGCAGGTGCAGAGCGTCTCAGCAGCTTCAGGGGGTGTGTTGGAGGGGAATCGCCGGCCTGCCTGGATCCCTCGAGCATCACCGAGGACTCCTGCCGGGACCCTCTTATAATCCCAAACCGGCCCACACCCCCGCTAGAGACGACAGGGCCAGGGAACCAGAAACCGGTGGACTAGCGCCAGGGCCGCCCAATGCCGGGCCACATGCAGCGTCTTCTCTGCAAGGCGCATAAGGGGCTGACAATCCCAGACCTCCAGGACCTCTGCACCGGTGGCCCGCCCCTATACCGTGGGAAGGAACTCCATAAACCAAGCTTCTGATCTCAGGGAGCCAGCTCCACCACCCTCCTCATGTGGAGTTGGAGTAGAGCCGTGCCCTGGGGGAAGGACCCAAGCGGCCATCCCTGGTTGCTGCCTCCTGGTGTGCCTGGGTCCTGAGAGCCCAAGGGGCTGTGCGGCTGACTCTGAGAAGCTGGGGCGGAGGCCTTGGCCTGAGGGGAAAGGCCCTTCCACCAGTCCTCGACTCTGAGATTCAAGGCGCCAACCAGTGTGGGCAGCCCAAGTCTCAACCTACCCCCACCCTGCAGAGCCTGGGCCTCACAGACCCTTGGACTCAGCCTCCTAGGAGCCAATAGTAGCTACAACCCAGGGCCTTGCAGGTCCTCGCTGGTGCACAGCCTGGCTGGGGGTGCTTACTGCCCAGGGAGGGAGTTCCGCTTGCTCCTTTGTAGACCCTGCTGTCAGGCTTCTAGCCCCCCACCTATGCCCGCCTGCAGCCCTGGTTCCCCGCCTCTCTCCCTCACTGCCACCGCCCCCTCTCGGGTCCAGAGCCCGGGCGTGCGCTGTCAATGATTGCCCAGCCCGTGGCCCGGATCCTTATCTGCATTCCTCGGCGCCCGGCCCGGCCCGGCCACCAGCCAACCTTCGGCCCCGACACCGGCCGGCCAGCCCCGGCGCCAGGGTGCATGCTGAGGGCCCTGAGTCTAGCTGCTCTTCCCAACGGATCTAGAAAGTCAGGGGCCTGCTTTCAGGGGGAAGCCTCGGGAGACCCCGGAGGAAGGGGGTGAAGGTCTCTCCCCTCGCGGACCTGGCTGCAGGGAAGGAAGTTTGCGCCTCTAAGCTTGGGTGGAGCGCGGGTCCTGCTCCCAGCATGCAGAGACTAGCGTCAGCCCTGTTCCCTGCCTCCTTCGGCATCTCAGCCCCTCTCTTCCACCACCAAGCCCAGGAATCCCCTAAGCTCAGTCCCAGAGCCCAAAGACTCCAATAACCTACCCTTCCACCGCAGTAGCACCCCTCAGCTCTCCGAACAGACACGTGGGCTCGCTGAGCGGGTTCCCTTTCCCACCTCCGCCTCCCCATTCAACTCTTCCTCGCTGTTCTTAATCCCAGACCCAGCCGGGACGGACGCTGCTCCTGGAGGGGGCAGCGCATAGAACCAAGAGCGCACAGGGAGGAAAGACCGTGGTGCCCCTACGCATCAAGAGATTCTTTGCCTCAGGGATGCCGAAAGGTTTCAAAATGAAAGGGGCACAGCTGTGCAGAAGGTTAGGCCGGGAAGGACTGCGTGGGTCCCGGAGGCGCAGGAGGCAGCCGGGTAGAGGTACCTCCGGGTGCCGCGTCTGGCTGAGCTGCCAGTACTTTGGGGCAGAGGAGCCGCCGCCAACCTGCTGGGCTGTGGGGCTTGGCAGCGAGGAGCTCTTCTAGCAGTCTCCGCCGGGCTTGGGGATGCCGACACTCCTGCCTGGACCCCTGGCCAGCCCATCGTGGGCAGGAGGCAGCGGGGCTTGGCGAGAGGGGCAGGTGCCAGGGAGAGTGCCAGCCAGTCGAGAAAAGGTGCCAGGGGGTGGGTAGGGCCGGGCAGGTGGCGGTGCTTCGGCGGCGGCGCGCTGGTAGGGCGGATCGCGCTCACCTGGGTCATGAGGCGGTCGGCGCCTGTGTTCTCCTCGTCCTTGAAGATGATGTCTGGATTGTAATTGGGGGTGAGCTCCTTGAAGCGCTCGGAGCTGCGAGCGATCTTGCCTTCATAGCGTCCGCTGGCGCCCAGGGTCTTCTCGGGCACGTTGGGGCTGAACTGCTTGTAGGCGAGCGGCACGAGTTTGCGCGGCGGTCGCCGGCGGCTGCCCACCACCCGGCCCGGCCCGCAGCCCCATGCCGCCGGCACCACCAGCAGCAGCAACAGGAGCAGGCAGAAGTGCAGTCGGGGCCGGAGCCGGGCGGGAGACATGGCCAGGGAACCCGGGGAAGCGGCGGGCGAGGGCTCCTGGTGGGCTGATGGGCAGGCGAGTCGACGGGAGCGCTGCGGGGGCTCAGGCGTCCAGGTGGCTCCGGGGGGCTCCAGGCGGGGGCGCCATGGGCGGCACGGTGCGGCCAGGGCCGGCGGGACTCAAGTGCGGGGCGGGGGCCCGGGGCCCGAGCTGGTGGCGGCGCGCTGTCCCCCTCGGCGCCTCGACTCTGAGCTGCCGGGCTCGCCGGCCGCCAATAAATAGGCCGGCCCGTTTGTTTTGGCAACGCGGCGGCGGCGGGGGGCGGCGGGCGGCGGGGCTGCGGGCCGCCGGGCTGGGCTGGGCTGGCCGGGCCGGCGGGCTGCAGGGCCCCGCGGTTAGCACCCCGGCCCGGCGGTCAGGCGGCTCGGGCGGAGCGGGAGCTGCTGCCGTCTGCGGCGCGGCCCGGGGCCGAGTGAGAGGGGAAATGGAAGAGATCCGGGCTCGGGCCCCGCGCAGACCGCACCCTACCCATGTCCCTGCCTCCTGTGCGCTCGACAGCGAACCTGCAGCAAGGGCAACACAGCCTCCTCCCCCTCGGGCGGGCGGCCCCGGCACTAGCCAGCCCTAGTCCCGCTCGCGCCTCCGCCGCGCGTCCGCCCGCCCGCTGCCCTCTGCGCCCCCTGCGCTGCCCGAGTTTGCCCTCCCCGCCTGGACGCGCCCCACCCCGCCCTGGCCTCGCCTACCGGCTCTTCGCGGCTCTGGGGTGCCCCGCCAGGCGCAAACCTCCCGGACAGGAGCTGCCACCCCCACGGAGACCGCAACCCACGGCGCGGCCGGACGCGAGGGGCGGGGGGCAGTGACCGGACCGCACAGCCGCCTACGGTGTCCCCTGCGGGGAAGCAAACCCAAAAGGCAGGAGGCCGCTCATAACCTGGTGCCCCACCCTGGCCCAGGCGACGCGCCCTTTCAGCTTGGTGGAGCTGGGTTCTGTATCAACCTGGTGCACATCCCACAGCCTGCCTGTTGGCGTCAAACTGGGGGTGGGGAGTCTAGCCTTTTGAAGAGTCAAATAGGGGGTTTTAAGTTGGAAACACTGTTAAAAGCGACAATATGAAGTTGCAAAGGGATAGGTCAATATGCAGAAAAGGGTAGCTAAAATGGTGACATCAACAGAATACCGAGGAACCCTGACTGACCATGTTAAAGAGGGGCCGCAAATATCTCAGTAACGAGGGCTTGCTATGAATGCCAAAATGATGCAAAGCCATCGGAACTGCTAAATAATTACTTGCTTCTATATTACACATTTAAAAGAGCAGAGAATATGTAGAAACAACTAGGAACGTGAACATGTGTTATGTGTTTTTATACGACATTCGGGAAAGCTGAATGAATTAGGATCCCTTCTGTCAAAACAAGTAAAGGCAAGTGTGTTAAAGGCAAACAAAAAACATCACCACCACAACACCAAACTATATGATTTGACTGTAATAGATTCTGCAAATCCAATAAAGGTAGAAATGAAAAGATGAGAAATAAAAAGGCTTAAAAATTATCATCCAAATTCTATTAATACAATAGGTACCATTTTATTGGTACTTATATTCCTGAATATTGGAGTTATTAGATATTATTGTACTACTTGTTCTACTTGCATTATCTAATTTAAACTCAAAACGGCCAAAGGAGCTATTACTGTCCACATTTTACAAATGAAGATATTGAAGTTCAGAGAAGATGAACAACTTGCTAGTGGCTGAAAAGCAGGGATTGAAGCCTATGACTCTGGCCCAGCCCCAGTTTTCGCCTAGGCAGGTGCATTGTCCCTCTGTGCAGGACCAATCCACCCAACACCACCGGGTTTGGGGCTGAAGTAGCTCTTCACAGATTTACTCACACTCTCTGGATCAGTTTTATAAACACAAATTCAGGACTGGATGAGACTCAAGAGAGTGCTTAATCTAAGCGCTTGAAAGGAAACTGAGGCCCACAGAAAGAAATTTAGGATTGCTCCACTAGGAGTGGAGTGGTGCCTGCAATGTGGAAACAAAATGGATCGCCTCCTTTCCTCCCCTTTGCCCGCACCTTCTCCCCACCCCGCATGTTCTTTCTTGCATTGGCATTCAGATTCTGTTTCCTAGTCAAAGATGAATGTTCCTTCTTTTCCCTGAAAGCTTTCCAAGAGCTTTAACTTGTATTTTCCAGGGCTCAAGAACTATCTCTGCGATATTCTCCATCTCCTTTCCCTCCTGCCCCACTACCTCAGATTTCTGGAGCAGGGTCAGTACCTCTCACAAACCAGACAAACAGGGGCTCTCTGTTTTTATGGAGCTGCATGAAAGAAAATTCCATAGGCTTCTGCGGTCACCTATCCCAGTGTTTAATAATATTCTTCTAGAGAAGTTTCGCCTTAAATTTAGTCTTTCTCCCTCCCTCTCTAATGCAAATTCAACTCATTCCTCTTTTTCTGGCCTTGGGGTTTAGGGCCATTATCCTGCTGATTATCCTTCATGCATTGTCTTGAAGAGTTGTTAAATTACTTTCATTCTTCTTTTCTCCAAGTAAGAGACAATTTCTTTAAGTTCTCTCAGAGGTTCTAATTTATAATCATTTATTAGTTTTTCCATTCTTCCTCTCATTTCTCCTCTCTCAGACTGTGATTCTAACCTATTAAATACAAATCTGGTAAAGATCTGATCCATGTCAAATAAGTTCTTATGCTGTAAGTGCTGCCATAGCTTGTCATCAGGTGTGCCACTGCAGCAGAGCCACCTCGTTGGTTGAGATTGGGCTTCACTAAGACCAGACCCTCCTCTGCCATGCTAACTTAGGAGCAGTGATAAGGGTGTGTGCTGGAGAAGCAGAGGGAGACCAGTGTATCAAGTTTTTTCTCTCTGCCAGGTGCTTTACACAATTAGTAAAATCTCCACAAGAATCCTCTGTGCATGACATTATTCTCCTTTTACAAATCTATAACTCCAAGATCTAGTCGCCAAGTAACTTGCCTGGGGTCCCAGAGCTAAAAGTTGAACGCAGAGCTTTTTCACTCCAAAGCTGTACTCTTTTCTCAGGACATAATGGTGCTCCAAGATCTGAATCTCAAATTTGGGTCAACATCAGTCCAACCTCCTTCAATGGAGGAAGGGCGGAGACTGGGAGCACCATAAAGTGACCTGGAACACTTTAAATCCAACCTGGGGCCTCAGTACCCGGGTCATTTCTTGGTTGCCTATGTTCTTAGCTGTTCAGTAGGTGTAGGGTGGCTTTTAAACTGGGCTAGTAGTTCCTTAGACCTATCAAACAAGACCTGGTTCTTTTTCTGATCATTGCCAGCCTCTGCCAGCAGTATTAAAATTGGACAGGGGCAGAGTATGCCACTCTGGAAGCTCCAATGGCCTACAGCCTGGGACATGTGACCTCATTATCAGGAGAGAGATGCAGTGATCGAGCCTCACTGGGCTCGACCCACCTGAGCCTGCTGGTAAAATCACTTTCTTCTCTCACCTTTAGATCTCTTCTATCCTTCAATCAGCTCTATTTTGAAGATAACAAATTATCTATTGCTTTGGATAATACGATTAATTTTTTGTTTAGAAAAGTGAAAGTTTAAAAAAAATTAGAAATGGAGGGAAATACATAATAGAACATAATTTAAATATCTACTTAGTAGACTACCATGTTAGCATTTTTAGTTAATCTTACTTTAACGCTATATAGTACAAATACATTGTACTTATAGTATATACATGATATTCTATAGCATATCTTCACATCCATGTACATACTGCATAGGTCCGCACTTCTATAGTCGACTAGTATTTTTTCTCCTAATCCTGCCACTCGACTGGATCAATCCAGCTCTAAATCCAAGGGTGGTAAGCCACAACCAGACAACTTTCAGGAATGCAGTTAGTCCAACACCCTCCAGTGACCCAGTGCACAGCAACCCTGGCTCAGTAGAAACAGTGGACGTGGAGGTGGCAGACCCGTGCCTGAACACCATCTTTGCTACCTTCTACCTGTGTGACCTTAGACATGTTTCTGAACTTCCATTTCTCATCTATAAAATGAAAATAATATCATATACCTCATAGAGTTGTTGAAAGGGTTAACAAATATAAGCTTTAAAGTACAAATGTTACTTATAATTCACTTTTATCCTCTGCTGGGTTCACTTAGGAATAGCAGCAGTTTTCTGATTCCTATTACTCATCTAGGGGGAATACATAAGGAGGCTCATGTGTGGTGCCCCAAGACAGCAGTGGTGATTAGGAGCCCCTACCTCTTTCTATTAGTGAATATCTACCTTGATGCTATTGTATAATAGGCCCATAAGAACACAGAATGCAAACAGAAAAGTAGAAGATACAGTTGTCCTTGAGGAATTTACTATTTAACCTTAAAGATAAATCATGAAAACAAAAGACAATTACAAAGCCACAAATGCTACTCACAAATGAATACAGAATAATGCATTTTAAACTAGATAGGCTAATAGATTAGATGAATTTGGTCTAGGAGAATATGGAAATAAGAAGTGATTAGCCTGGGGTTAGACCTCTTGGATAAAATCAGTTCTGAAGGAGGGAAGGGAACGACTGAAAAGAATGAAGAGGATACTCAGGAAAGGGGAGTGGTACAAGCAAAGATGATGGCCTAGTAATGAAGAGCCAAGTTAGATGATCTAAGAAAGAGAGGAAACCCTAGTATCATCTCACAAAACCTTCACAAAAACCTTATGAAGTTCACACTATTATCTTAATTTTGCAAATGCAGAAACTCAGGTTCACAGCTTGTCCAATAGGGAGCTGGAGTTGGAATCCAGGCCCCTGTTGACTCCATGGTAACAGTTTCTTGGCGAGTGATTCCCAGAGCAAGCATGCTGGGTTGTCCACCTCTGTTCAAGTCAACCATTTTCCTTCCTAAATTGAAGTAACTGTTTTTCCTCCTTCTAGAACTGTTACCTTCTTCTTGGGCTTTTAACACCTTATACTTTATTTGACTGACCACTTCCCCAACAGGATGATGTCACTCTGACTTCTACTGTTGATTTTTTGAAAAGGTAAGCAACTCCTTACCTTTTCAAAATTACCTTACCAAAAGGTAAGCAAATTTGGCCCCATGTGCAGAAATAAAAGCATACCTTTCAAGCCTCTGATCAGTCCAGGTCACATTTGGAGATCCAACTAGAGCCACTCAAAACTAACAATGCTTTGAAAGCTGGCTGTTGATTAGAAATGGGAATGTCAAGTTACCTTTGCTCAAACAATAAGCTCATTACGAGGTACTTCAGAGAGAGTCAGGCATTAAAGACCTTGCTTTGATGACTTTGAAAAGCTAGGAAAAGGCAGAATTAGTTACAGAGTGTTTTTCCCTCAAATCAGAGACCAAAGATTGTGGGAAACTCTTATCGTATAGAAAGACATTTACAGAAAAAAAGACAGACGTCTTTTTTATCTAGGGCTGGGCTCAGTGGCTCACACCTGTAATCCCAGCACTTTGGGAGGCCAAAGCCAGTGGATCACTCGAGGCAAGAGCTCAAGACCAGCCTGGCCAACATGGCAAAACTCCTTCTCTACTACAAATACAAAATTTAACTGGGTGTGGTG